AACCATTGCTATTGACCGGTGTCTAAAATGGGATAGGTGAAGTTTGAAAAGAAATTGCTCGATTTCAAAGAAAAATTGGTTAGCTAATCAAAGAAAAAAAAGCATTAGGCCCCATTTGGTTTTCGGGAATAGGGGTCTAGAATCGGAATCGAAATGAGCTATTCCAATTTCAACTGTTTGGTTGGATGGAATCGGAATCCCATTCTCATTCCCATTGAAATAGCATTTCCCCATTTGAGGGAATGACCATTCCCTACTACTCTCWTGGGAATGAAATCTCATTCCTGCTAATYTCAATTCTCTTTCTTATTCCTATTTGAACCAAACATACTATAAAAATAGACCATTCTGATTCTGATTCCGAAGGTTTTTGACTCTGATTTTAACTGCAAACTAAACAAACCCTCAATTACTATTTAAACTGGCTTGGATGAGGCTGAGATCAACCCTGACCCAACTTAACCCTAACCTAACCCAACTTAATCTTCAACCTAGGACTCTCAACCCTAACCCAACCTGATTATCTAATCAGAACCTTACGTACCAAATTTATCAATAAATATGCATAAGAGCACATATCATATTCATGTTATTGCTATTACATACCAAAAAATGACAAAGAAACATCATAGTACAAGAAACCACCACCATCGTCTTCTCTCCTCTCACATAAGCACAATTATATAAATCAATACATGTATTAAGAATTTTCCAGTTTGACTCAAACCCAGTCTTCAGCCCAACCCAAAGCCCCAAACTGTCCAATCCACCAATACGCTAAGATTGGCTACCTGCTAATTCCCAAAGTTCAAATAGTCCAGTACACCACCTTTTGTGTGTTTTCACTTTTCTGCCGAATACCAAGTTACTGGTCGAAGTTCCAATATTTTATTTTTATTCATTGATAAATGCCCAATGACGGTCTATATATTTTGATCTTTTTCTTTTCCATGGGGCGACATCAATGTTTTCGAAACCGCAGTTGATTCAGATGGTCGGATCGCTTGGCCTGAGAATTATTCAGACAACCGGTTTCGTTTTAATTCAAAATTGGTCCCGAATCAAAAACTGTTGAATTGGTTAATAACCCATTAACCTGGGAGGTCAAACTGTCGACCCATTTAACTCATTCAACAGTTTTTTATTATTTTTTATTTTAATTTTTTATCAGAACAAACCATCCATTTGAACTGGGCAATTAAACTATCGACCCAAAAACCAGTGTCCTGAATACTTCTGGTTCTGRGTCGGTTTTTAAAACATTAGATGAGACAGTGGGGATAGCCCATTGCCAACCCATATCCCCCAACCCTAGTGCAGGTAGGATTGGATCCCAATTCCCAAGTCTCTGCTACAATCRGCCAGAGACCTTACCAATCAATGTCCATGTGTCAAGGGTTATACTTGAGAAAATATAAGAGGAACATGTGATTCCCTTTTGATCAGTGCTGAAAACTTATTGCCATGTAGGACATTGATTCCCGAACACTATACTACTAACTAGACACTCCAGTCAATCAGCAACCCAGCTCCTATTTGGAGAAAAAAAGAAAAGAAAAAGAAACATGTTTTATTATCTAAATAGATTTCCAAGGTCCCTGTTAACCTTTGATAAGTCATCATACCATACCCTCATGAAGTATGGTCTTTTCACCACAATTTTAAACTGCCGTTAGTTAGGCCCAGTGCAATCCATGTGTTATTAAATGATAAAAATATAGGATGACATTATATATTACATTTAATTTTTATGACCTGCATCAAAACCAAGACAAGTATCTACTTATTGTATAGATCATGATTTTTGAATTGTCATTGACCCATTTGGTCAAGTCACCTATTTTCATGGTCAATGAAGGTATAAACGCCACACATATGTTTATCATCAGTCTTCCATASAGAGAGTCTCCTCTCCATGTTCTTAGATAATTTGGTATTGGTCAAAGATGACCCATGATCAGGTGTCCCACACGGAAGGACAAATGGACCACCTGTATTGTATTAATTGGAACCCACAGTAATATTGTAGTCCCTTTGGGAATTACATCATTCATTTGTACCAAAGGTGAAAGACTATTAGAATTCTAATAAACTCCATGTCTATTAGATAACAAGTATCCCTCTATTGAATTAGACTGAACATTTGGAGGGGCCCAACTAAGATATCATCTGCACAATATGATCTGGAACTTTGATAGGAATCATTAGATGTAGAAAATTTATGATCATCAAATGAAAAGTCAGTTTGGCAGATTAATTTCCAAGCATTGTTGATGAAATAGGGGCTGAAAGTTGAAAATTCCAAAAGAATCCAAAATTGAATATGTGCAGTTCAGCATTTCAGCAACATTAGACC